AAGCGTAACAGTCTATAACCCTCTTCATTTACTAGTACCTATTGTTGTAGAAAAGATTATTAAACATTTATTTTCTGTATTATTCTTACAGGAAATAACACACCATGCTTTGGGGATTAAATGTATGTCAACATTGATAACCCAAATGAAGTATTTAAATACTGTCTCCAAAATCCAGACAGGAAATGTAACATGCAATATTAAAAATGATTAACAACTTTCCAGATAATGGATTCTACAACAGTTAAGAGAGGCTTCATCCGATTAAATGGCCTCACACTTTCATTTGCAATGCTGCCCTGCAGAAAAGAAAAGCCAGGAGTGTGCACTGAAGAATACACACTTGAAGTATCAAAGGCAGATTTATAGCCCAGGTATATAAACTAATTCACCACTAGTACAAAGGACCTTTCTCCACGTTCCCAAGCCTAACACCTCACTGCCTCTGATGTTGATTTTAAATGCACCATGTTCTTTACTAACCTCTTATTCTCATAGGTGAATAATAATGTAATCATATTTTAACTCGTTTATTCCTTTCAGTTTTTAAAAGAATCTAAAACCTAAAGTAACGGTTTATTATTTGTAGTCACACATGGTATTTAGAGTACTGGTAATAAGACACACACACACAACACTGTGGATGAAATCCTGGCCCTGTTGAAACCAACAGGAGTTGTGACACTGAATTCAATACGTCTGCTCCAAAAAAACATAGGCTAACGGAAAGCACAACATAATAAGCTGGTGATGTTGCCTATCTTGTTGAGTCCAATGTGGTGGTGGTCTTTCTTAACTGCTGCAAATTAGTTCTTCACCCACACCTTGAAGTATAAAGTTTTGCCTACTAAAATGTCAGGTAATATCAGGCTCCAACACAATTAAGTCAAGTAGCAGAAGACAGAGTTAAATTTGGGTGGCAGCACACAAGTACTGCAGAACAGGTGCATGGCTGGTAGTGATTTGAAGAAGGGAACATTTGGGACACCACTGATTAAGAAGCTGTTTCACATGGGAAAGAGATGATGTGCCAAGAATGGAGGATGAAAAGAAAGGGAGCGATTAAGAGGAAGACTACCCCCAAGGCACTGGGAAGGGCATAAGAAGAAACAGAAGGGTGGAGTGCTTTAAATGGCATGCCGAGATGCTGGAACTGAATGAGGGGGAATAAGAGGGAGCCAGGGCACACAGATAAGGAGATGAAAGGAAGGAGGTCAGAGCAATAGGAGAAGATTATTTTTAATCCCAGGAAGATGAATTTAGCCATGGTATTTGGGTCAGGATGAAGCTTCATGTATACTAAAGAATTGCACTGTTGCAACTTGAAGCTGTTTAGTCACATGGGTGCAAGTTGGCACAGTGCTGCATGTCCACACTATCCATCCAGTTTTGAGTACGATGTAAAACACAGTAGTCCTGAGCATCTGAGTTCCACGTCATAGATGTAACCGAGAACTTTCAGGTGGCAAACATGCATGCAGCCATGATTCCTTAAAAATGGAAAGCTGAGGAGACTTGAACTTTTATGAGCCTCTGGTACTCAGGACTAGCTGGTCTGTGGCAAAGGTATATAACGCACAGGCTTAACACATGTACTTGTATCTCATCTCATAACTCGGACCATGCTCTAATCACCAGATCACATGCCGTTCCTCTTTACAAACAAATATTTAAATATATACTGTATATAGAGAATACGGTACTTTATTTCCTTTGAGACACCTTAGATTCTAGTCTGAAATGTGTCCTCATAGACTGATCATTAAGAGAGAGCTAGATTGTTTGTACAGACTTATGTTTTGAATTTGCAAGAAACTAATAATTCTACTATGCAAATGTGTACTATTTTACTGCTTTTGGAGAAAGCCGCTGCTTATCTCCAGCATAAATTATACTAAAAGTTATACAAATCAGAGGACTCAGAGTCTAATCAGGATAACAGCGCTTACCACCTGAAACTCATTTCACTTTCCAAAACAAGAAAAGCCTTCAAAGACGTATTTGCTTTTGACAAAAGCTATTAATTTCACATGTAAATTCTTAAAAACAACCCAAGCTTTCAGAGTTTATAACCAACAGAGAGTTTATAATCCTCCATATAACTTTTTGTTCATCCATTATTTACTGATCTAGTAAATACCACGTTAAAAACGTGCATGAGAAGCTCATTAAAATCTAGTGACACGAGTATAGTTTACTGGTACATGTCATCTGCAATAGATAATGCTCTATAATCTAGAGCCTAAATGGGATATAAGAAACAAAACAGAGTGTTTCAGACAATGGAAACTTCAGAATGTATTGTTCCTATAAACAGATGTTAAATTACTTCACTGTATAATAGAATTTATAATCCTGAAGGTTTCTATGTGAACAAGCAACATCAGTTTATTATTTCAGTAGGGTGCAATAAAGTTCTCATTTTACTTGCAATTTGTAATGAACTGGAGGCCAATTATAAAAAGCCAAAGGTTTCTCACCAGAAATGCTATGCATACATAAAACTATTGATAAAGCTCTTAAAAATGAAGTAGAATCTTTCTAGTTCACTAATGACTACCAGACCACAGCAGACTAGAGTATTTTGCAAGTGATCAAACTAGAAAGCAAATATAATACTTCACAAAATGCACTTTGCTAATTTATTTCAGTAATTTTCATTTATGAAGCATAGATACAGTAATTGAAATTAATGTACTGATAATTATTACAGCATACATTGTAAAAAACAAAAAACACACCATATCCTAGTAATATAAAACCTTACCACAGCGCTCAGTGACTGAATCCTTTCTGAGAAATGGGATGAGGAAGATGTTGTTTTTACATAATTGTAAATTAGCAAGGTTCTACTTTAAATACACAGGGAAAATTCAGGAAGACTAACCTATCCTCAAAATTGTAATGTGTTCTGCAAGGGCAGAATCCTGTAACTATCTGGAACCCCACTAACTTATGTGGTTCCATGCAGGGACAGGGGACCACCAATATGGAACTTCTAGCAGGGGCCTTAGTGTTAACACTACAGACACTGTTGCTCTAGATACATAGCAAGATCCCTCTCCTGCAGTATGTTGCAGTTGTGCAGTTTAAAGCACAGGACCAGGGGCTAAAACATAAAATATATTTGACTGTACTATATACTATTAAATAATTTCTCTGGTGTTTATAAATATGTATGTACATACACACATGTAAAATGTGCAGTAAATATGAAATGTGCACAGCACCTTGAAATACAGAATAGTTTGTGATCAAGTGATTTATAAAAAGGGCCACATTAAGATCCTTTAAAGTTTCTACTGATTAGGAAAACAATGATAAAATTACTTTTTGCCCCATTGCATAGCGAGTTATAAAACTGGCTTCTACATAAAAGTAGGCCTAATTTTTTTCAAACATTTTAATTTTTAAGAATAGTTTCAAATGGCTCATTCTTCGCTGTTCAATACGAAGAAATGGGCTCATGAGGCTGGTAAAAATTACCATATTTAAATTTTCTTTCTAGTTATACAAATTATTTCCCACAAGTTTGGATTCAGCCATCCAGTTAACATCTTCTGAAATATTTAGCAAACGGTTGGTTCATCTCAAGTCCAATACTGCTCTAATCATTTACCGTGACAATCACTATTAACTGCTGATGCATGCGCTAAAATTCATACTTCTCATTCTCATCCTCTTATGTGGCATCTGCATCTTTCCTGCAAACTTATTACAGATTTGTTTATATGTTGTTGCTAGAAAAAAATGATTTGAAATAAATACCACAGGCCAGAGAAAAATCTTTACATGAAAAAGAGAGAGCATTTTCTAACTGATCCCAAATTTTAGACCCCATTAATTTGAATGTGTCATTTGAAAGACATCCTATTCAGTTGTTCACCAGTAAAACTTAGAAGAATATCTAAAGGATACGGGACTCTCAAATTTGCATCCTTCTAAAGAAGGGATGAGGCAAATGAATAAAACTATAGATTTGTAAGTGATAACACCACATCCATTTCAGAACTAAGAAAATATATAAATGCTTAAATATATTTAATTGTAATTGCACCTTTCATTACTGCTGATTAATAAAGTGAAATTACTTCCTTACACTGTCTTTTTATATTTAACTCAAAGAATGAAATTTATTTTTGATTAATTAATATTGTTGATTGCATTCTTTAATAACGAATGGCAAACTACAAAAAGACATTTCCCTCTTTTATTCTGAAAAACAAAGTTACATAGGATGACAACAATGATATTTTAGACGTGTGCACACACACTTCCCATGCAAAAAACAGTGAACATTTTCATGTAACCATGAGCTATGTGACAAATCAGTCCAGGTACTCTTTAGCCCTACATCACTGAGGCCTGCAACAGTTACGTCCTCACTGCAGAGTTAGTTTGAGTTATCTATATAGCTTGAATGAGATGGCCAACTGCAAAATAACACTCCAGCAACAGAGTTATTGTGTTAGTAGGACAGAGTAAATGTATCCCTACTGCATTACTAGCTCAAATATGAGGAGCACCTGAGCTTTGATTCATACCTTCCCTCTCTCCCCCATTGGCCAGCTAGCTCAAGTTTAAAGCACTCCCTAACTCAAGCCAATTCTAATTTTGTTATTTCAAAAGGAAAATTCTTACGTATTGAAAATGCATGGCCATAACAGAGATACTGCCTGCATCGAGAAATATCAGTATATATAATACTACAAACATTGACTTTTTGCTTGGGTGAACATATCACCATCCTGTTTTGTTTGAGGGAATACTGCCCTCTGTTATGATGTGGTCAATATTTACCTCAGCTTTACTTACTAAAATGGATATTTCAAGTCTATACATCCTTATATTCATTTCAATATATTGTTCTATTCCCAATAACTTAAAACTCTATTATAGAGTGGCAATTTTGATGATCTTTGCAGTGAGGCATTACTGTTAGGAGCAACACAGTTTAAAAAAAAAACACATCAAAATACAACACGTTCTAAGGTACTTACATCAGTGTCAGGCCCTTTGTCTGCACCAGGACAAGAAAACGTAACAAATTCATGGCACCTCTTGTGAACCACAAAACAGCAAACTAGTTAAAAAAAAAGGGGGGGGAGGGGAAACAACAGTTAGAGTGGCACAGATTTACTAAATCTTTACTGTTGAAACAAATTTAGTTTCACTGAAATCAGTGTATGGAGAAGGGAACTTCAGAAAGTTAGGATACTTTGGATTAAAAAGTGACAATTCTCAGTGATGTTTACATGTGCATGTACCTGTTTAGTGCTGGTATTACAGTTTGTCCATTTTTGAAATACTGCAAAGTATATGAAAGTCACTGTTTGCTCTGCTACAAAAATGACTTGTGGACATAATATTATTTCAGTTTTGCAGCCAGGGAGTTATCTGGTTACAGATTTGAAAGAAACTTCTCCTGCTATAACATGATGTAATATAGGCCCAGCAGATCTTCCAATGTTGGCATTTTATTTTATGGAACACTTGGACTTTTCAGCAGGCCTCTCCTCAAATCTTTATATCTTTTACTCTATAGCTTACAGCTTTTAAACAAAGGAAAACCCAGCCACTTGGTCAGAACCAATATTTTCCTGAGGGAGTTATATCGTTACATGTTAAATGTTTTTATGTTCCGCGCCTTAGGTGAATACAAAATTACAAGGATATTACTACTGTTCATGCAGTCTTATGAAAAAGGTGGTTCTCTTGTGTATATACCTTGCAAACACTAGTTATGTTACATCAGTCAGTGTATTCTCTCTGGTAACTTTGATTTAAGCATCATCACATTGCATAAACATCCTGCTAGAACCATTTTAGACAGTGCAACTTGTAAGGAAACTCCTCTAAATCATTATTTATAGATTACACTCTATTTTATTCTATGTCAGACTGAAAGTTCTTGATTAGATTCAACTACTTAATAATTCAGGAAGAAACTACGGAGCTTATTTGTAACACTTAAGCCATAAAAAAACTTCAGACAATTCTACCTCAAAAATGCTCTACCTTGTTACAGCTAGAGGAAATCCTAAACAAATGCAGAGATGTCATAGCTCTATACATAATTTTCCCTATAAATATGGTGAGTGAGGACAGGGCAAGTGGGAAGAGGAGAAAGAGTGAATGGAAAGAGAATTCACAAATTTAAAGGCCAGAATAACACAGTCCAAAGCATTTTACCCAGGAATTATTCTTCCCTACTATGTAAGTGGACACTATCAAGCCAAGTAACTTGTTTCAAAATCTGGACTTTGGGGCATACAGAAATATAGACATTACCCTGTGAAGATTGGTGCTCTGTTTACAATGATATAACGTTTTTGCTTATTTAAAATTATGTTAGGAGCATTATTTTTAATATTTTTAAATGACTGTTGCATTGCTGTGGTTAACTTTTGTTAAGCCTAAAGTTTAAAGTAACTTTGACTCTTTAAATGCGCACTTGGACTAAAAGTCACATAACTGTTGATTGGCAAACTGGATCAGGATTTGTCACGTTAAATACAATAATGAAGAGCTTTTTCAAAACTTAAATGCAAGTGAGTATTTACTTTTTCCTAATTTAGCTTCTCATGTATTTCATGTAGTCAGTTGGCGTGTCTCATGGGACATAAACATGGCCATTGTTGGCTCCACTTCAGACATTCCCCACAATTCCCCTGAAAATTCGCCACTGCCAACAGGTATGTATGTGGCCTACTAATAAGTACTCATGGGTTTAAGGAGATGTGTATTTGAAGCAGGAAAAGGATTTATTTCCTCCTTGCAGAGCCTTTCTTTGCCCACAACAATCAATTTTGCCGCCTTTTACAGGCGACAGGAATTGTCCAAGAGGGAGCTTTTGTCCCCCATAAGTCCTACCCTACAAAGGTGCACTATTTGAAGTGGCCAGTGCTACTTATTCATCAATTCTGAGGCAAGACATGTCATTAAGCTGAGTTAC